TGCAATCACTTGTTATGCATCAGAGAGTTGGACAATGACTAGTGAGGACAGAAGGAGAATTGATGCCTTTGAGCTGTGGTGCTGGAGAAGAGTGTTGAATGTACCATGGACTGCCAAGAAAACAAAGAGATACATCCTGGAGAGGATGAAACCAAGCAACTCCTTGGAAGCAAGGATTCTGGGACTTCATCTGACATACTTTGGGCATGTTGCAAGGAGGGAGAGGTCCTTGGAGAGGGACATCCTGCTTGGGAGGGTGGAGGGATGGTGCAAGAGGGGAAGACCCTCTATAGATGGATTGATTCAGTGACTGGCGTAAATGGAATGGGAATGTCAGAGGCAGTGCGATTGGCACAGGACAGAGCAGGGTTTAAGGCTGTTGTACATAGGGTCGTTATGAGTCGCAAATGACTCAACGGCACATAACAACAACAACAACAATGTAGATAACAAAAACCATAGCTTATAAATAATAGGAGGTTTGGGGGTATTAAGATTAAAGAAAAAAATTCAGTTCTTTTTTTTCATTATTTTTTTCTTAATTTTATTATTTTCGTGTGTGTGTACCGTCAAATCAGATCTGACTGGTACAGGAGGAGATTGTCCCTCCTTTCTCGGCAGAGCATCTGGTGGATTCGAACCGTGCGCCTCTGGGATTGCAGTACAGCTTCTTGCCACTAGGACACCAGAGCTCCCCTAGAAAAAAATTAAAATGGGACAATAAATGCAACTCTTCTAGTGTTTTAAAGGCCAAACTACTGTGGGAAGAGAACAAGGAGGCCTTTCCTGGCATTCTGGCTCCACAGCATCTGCCCCAGGTCTGAAAAGGCGATGTTCTTGTTTCCTCAGTGATATCTAGGGAGCTGGTTTCCATCCCTTAGCCAGCTTGCCTGTGCGGGTTCCAACACATTTTTCTGCCGTTCTCTGCAATTTGCACCTATGAGATAAAGGAGATAAAGTGACAAAGATTTAAAAAGAAAAAATAAGGGGGAAGCTCTTCTCTTGTCCTTGCCTTCTGCAGGTTACTGACCACTTGGAGTATCACTTTAACATTGAGATGAGGAGAACCAAGTGTAAAAAGACAGAAACCATCAACTGTGAATTTCAAGAAAGAGAACTTTACAAGGTACTAGCAAAAGCATATCAACTTTTTTTTTTTTTAGGTGACTGTAGTTTTAAGATGTTAGGTGCCTTCAGGTTGACTACAACTCATAGTGACCCTCTGAGCAACAGATCTGAAACCTTGCACTATACTGCTCTATCTTCATGATTGATGCTTGACGTCTTTTTGCAGTTACTGTCTCAATCACCTTTTTATGTGTCTTCCTCTATTTCTCTGACTCTCCACCTTTTACAGCATGTTGTATTTTCCCAAAGAGAGGTCCTTCCTGGCAACACACCCAAAATAGGTGAGATGACATTTTATCATTTGTGCCTTTAAAGAGCACCCTGGTTGTACTTCCTCCAAGACAGACTTGTTTCTTTGGCATATCCTGTATTCTTCAGTATCATAATTTAAAGACATAGATTCTTCCTTTTTCCTCTTTGTCCATTAACTTTCAGATGCATAGGAAGTAAATTAAGAGTATGGCTTAATCAAGCACACCTTAGTTTTCCAACTGACATCCTTGCTCTTTAGCACTTTGGGGAGGTTCTTGACAGCAGATTTTATCAATGCATCACGTCTTTTTATATCTTGACTGCTGTTAACATGGGTGTTGATTGTGGATCCAAGTAAAAAAAAAAGTCCTTAACAATGCCAATCTTTTCTCCATCTGTCATTATGTAGTGGTAAGGATTTTTGTTTTCTTGAAATTAAAATATAGTCCATGTGGGAGGTTAAAATCTTTGATCATCTGCTGAAAATGCCTCAAGTCCTTTTCACTTTCTGCTAGGAAAGTTGTGTCATCTGCGTAACACAGGCTGATGAGTCTTTCTCTTATCCTAATGCCACATTTTTCTTCATAAGGTAAAGATTCTGAAATTATTTTCTCATCATATGTATTGAATAAGTATTGAGAAAGTATACAACCCTGGTGCACATTTTTCCTGATTTTAAATCGTGCAGTGTTCTTTTGTTCTGTTCAGATAACAGCTTCTTGGTCTATACATAAGTTTTGCATAAGCGTAATTAAGTGTTCCGCAATTCCCCTTCTTCTCAATCTTAGCCATAACCAAAGACCTTTGCTTAGTCAATAAAACACAAATAAACATCTTTCTAAAATTTTCTACTTTCAGCCAAGATCTATCTGACGTCAGCAGTGATATCTCTGGTGTCACTGCCTCTTCTGAATCCTGCTTGAATTTCTGGCAGTTCCCAGAGAATGCATTGGTCCAGCCTTTTAAAATAATCCTCAATAAGATTTTACTTGAATTTATTAATTCAAATTATATTATTTCATAATTTTCAGAGTCAGTTGGATTTCTTTTTGGGCAATGAAAACAAATACGGATCTATTCCAGCCAGGTAGTTGTCTTTCAAATTTCTTAGTAAAGACTAGCGAGCCCAAAAAGAAAAAACAAAGGGTTATAACAAAATGTGCAAAGTGCTGGAGTTAGAAAATAAAAAGGACTTTGAATTTCTCAAGCTGAACCAACTTCAAGAACAAATTCAAGCCTCAGGTTGTAATAATGAAGTATTTTATGGACAAAATGTTTATTTATGTACATTGTGTTTTATACAACCATTCATGTATGTTCTTTTGTATATATACATTATATTTTATGCAATCATTCATCTACAGTGTGTTGCTTTCATGTACGTTGTGTTTCATTCAATCATTTATATATATTATATGTTATATAATTAATTACTATTGCTCTATGCTCATTATCTGTGTTCAATGTCAATCTCTTCAAGTCCCCATTGTCATCTTTCCTATTCTTTCAGCTTCTGTTGGCCCCCTAACCTCTGCTGGCCTAGTGATTTTCCCACTTCCCCTTTTTATTCACCCTTCCTTTTTCCTTCCCTTGCCCCTTTCGAACATTTATACATATTTTGCTCAATTATCTTATATTATTATCCACTATTGTTTTCAGAATAGTGGTCTTATGCAATTATATGCCTGAGGTTATTTCACTCAGCATAATGTTTCCTAGACTCTCCCATGTTATACAATATTTGACAAAATTGTTGTTGTTCATTAGTGCTGCATAATATTTCATTGTGTGAATGTATCAAAATTTCTCAGTCCATCGTTTGTGGATGGACATTTGGGCTGTTTCCAGTTTCTTGCTGTTGTAAATGATGTTGCTATGAACACCGGTGTACAAATCTCTATTTGTGTCTCAGTTCTAATTCCTTGAGATATGTTCCTAGCAGTAGAATAGCTGGATCATATGGGATTTCTGAGGGACTTCTGGTGGCCTAGAGGCAAGAAGTGCTGCATTCCTGAAGGCATGCAGTTTGAATCCACCAGATGTTCTGCAAGATAAAAATGGACAATCTCCTCCTGTACAATTAACTGCCTCTGAAAACATGGGTCAATCATGGGTTGGTTCCAACTCAACAATACATAGCAACAACAACATGAGATTTCAATGTTCACCTTTTTGAGGAAACATCAAAACACTTTCCACAGTGGTTGTACCATTTTACAATCTCACCAGCAGTGCATGAGTTCCAATCTCTCTGCATTCTCTGCAACATTCATTGTCTCCCGCACTGTTAAATTTTGCTATTGCTGCTGAGGTGAGATGATATCTCATTGTTCTTTTAATTTGCATCTCTCTGATTGCTAATGATTTTGAACAGTTTTTCAAGTGTTCGTTAGCCATCTGAATGTCCTCTTTTGTAAAGAGACTTTTCATATCTTTTGTATGGGCAAAATCTTGAATGGGTGAAAGAATGAAGGAATTAGGAAAGATCCAGTGGGGATCTGAAAAGATGAAGTAATAGTGGGCATGGATCAGTGGTAAATAATTTTATAAGACACATGTTTGGGAATGACTAATCAAAACACAATGGGAATAAAGAAATGTATGAAGCACAATATATATGAATGAAAGACAATGTATAAAAATTTTGTATGCAAACCAATATAAAAGAATTTTTAAAAAAGATAATGGAATGAATACACAGTCTTTGTACCAAAAATAATTCTTTAACATGGAAAGAAACGTTTCAGGAAGTAACATATGATCAAGAACCAATGGTAATGAAGGAAGAAGTACAAACAGTATTGAAGGTACTGTCAAAAAAACAAGGCCCCCAGAATTGATGGAATACTAATTGACCTGTTTTAATACATAGATGCTTCCTTGCTGTGCTCACTAGTCTAACTTGTACTATAGCATTATTTGAATGTTGTTCAAGCTTCACTTCAAAGAAATTCCATTCCTGAAGAGAGAAAGTAAAGGTGACTATTAAGTCTGTAACTGTTGGAAGAACTTTGAGGAAGAAAGACCTGGAGGAGAAATTGAAGTGATTGAGTTGCAGTAGGACAGTAGGACTTGTGTGCCCAACTGAATATCTGAATATCAGCATTCTAGGACAGAGAAGTGTAAGTTCTTGCTCTTTGTTCCTTCCATGTAAAAATATTGGGAGGAAGATCTGAAGATGAGAAAATCATCCAGAAATCATTCAATTGCTTGTGACAGGAAGGAGGTAAACTCATTTGTTTGTGATCTACTGAGGAACTCCACCCACCCACCTACTCACTGCAGCCCAGTGCTCTGTCTGTCTGTCTGCTTCATTCTCACCCCAAGTGTAAACACTTAGAAGCTTTGAGGGGCGCTTGCCAGATCCTAATATCCACCAGGACCACTTCAGTGTGCATACTAAGGTAGCAGAGTTTTTGAAGGTCTAGCACGATAGCAGCCCTGAAAGTCACTTTATGTGTCTTCATTTGGTTTATGTGTGTGTTACCCTGGTGCTAACAGCCTTAGTGCTCCTAATGCACCTTGTCCATCCCTATACTTTCTTAAAAATTGACATGGTAGACATTTTTGGTATTTCATTATCTTTAAAAAAATAATTTAAGATCATAGTGAAGTGAAAGTAATTTTTTGTCTTGTGGTTGAATTGATGGAATTAGCTTTGTTTGTTATCTTAAGTTGTTGTTGCTGTTGTTATGTACCATCGAGTTGCTTGCAAATCATAGCAACCCTATGTACAAGAGCCCTAAATGCTGCTCAATCCTGTACCAACCTCACTATCTCTGACACATTCATTCCCACCCACCACCCCATCACAGAATTGATCCGTCTCATCGAGGTCCTCTCCTGTGCTGTCCCTCCACTCTCCCAAACATGATGTCCCTTTCTAAAGACCAGTCTCTCCTTGCAATGTGCCCAAAGTTTATCAGACAAAGCTTCAGAATCCTTGACTCCAAGTAGCATTCACCTTCTCCAGGACAAACCTGTTTGTTCTCCTAGCAGTTCATGGTATAGTCAACACTCTTCTCCAGCATCACAGCTCAAAGGCAACAATTATCTTTCTATCATCCCTAGTCACTGTCCAACTCTCCAAGGCATAGCACGTAATTGCAAAGACTATAGCCTGGATCAGGAGCACCTTAGTCTCCAGCTTGATGTCGTTGCTCTCCAGTGCTCTGGAGAGATCCTTCACAGCTGACATTTCCAGTGCAATTCATCTCTTGATTTCCTGGCTGCTGGTACTAAGAGTGTTGACTGTGGAACCAGAGAATTTTAAATATTTAAGCTTTCCACCCAACTTCAGCAGTATCAAATGAATATCAGAAAAATAAAAAGAGAGGTAAACATTTCAGAGTCAATTAATGATAACACCAGGAAGTTTTAATGTAAAGAGTGTCTAAGGTATTGATTTTCTAATTATGTGAGAATGCAGTAAAGAAAGGAAATATTGGCAATGGATATAGAAAAGAGAAACTGCAATGGAAGAATGGTGGAAAGAAGGAAAGGGAAAGGAAGAGAGAAGGGGGAAGAGAAGAGAGGAAACTATAGGAAAGATGGTTGAATTTTTGAAAGCCACAAGAATAAATGATGGATAAATGGATGAATTTTTGACAGAAAGAATGCGTGAATAAATGGATGATGGATAGAGAGTTCAATATTTGAAAAGACTAATAAATGATGTATCCAGAAGAGGCAAAGAGAAGAAATTTGGGGGGAAAGTAAAAAACACATGAGTAAAGATAAATAGAGAAAAGAAATCAGCAGTTTCTGTGAATATATACTGAGCAGATACTTTATTTCTACTCTCCAGATATATCCATAAACAGACATTTTCTAGGCTGATCCCACAAATTTGACTATCAAATTATTTAAATCAAATCAGATCTGACCAGTGAATGAAGAGGTGCTGGTGTAATTTTGTCTTGCATCCTCTTCTTTCACCTTCACATGGACCTTGTTTTCTCTTAAATACTGAATTTATTGTGTGTTTTTGTTTTTGTTTTTGTCTTTTAGCAAATCAAGTGCTACTTTTCAGTATTTGCCATTCCTTGGTTTGAAAAATATAAAATTTTGAGCAAAAACTGCACCAATGCCTAGAAGTCCTGAAGCACACTCATGAAGCCACAGTGTGTGAGAAGGTCCTGCAATGAAGAAACCACATAAAGTATAATAAATGTCCTTGACCTGTTCTTATAATGTTTCTCATAGTTTTGATTCCATCCCTTTTAAAGAGAAGGTTCTCTGGACCAGGGACATTTGGAGACCAAATGAAGTTAAATAAGTAGTCCTTGAGCTTAGAATCTACAAATGTATGCTAGAATTTAAGACCCATCATAATATAATTTACTTTGCTGTTATTGTTATGTGCTGTTGAGTCGCTTGTGACTCATAGTAACCCTATGTACAACAGATCTGAAACCTACTCTATCATGTGCCAACCTCATTGTCTCTGACACAGCTACCCTCATTACTCCAATCACTGAATCAATCCATCTTATTGATAGTCTTCTCCACTTGCACTGTCCTTCCACCCTTCTAAGCATGATGTCCCTCTCTAAGGACTGGTCCCTTCTTGCAACATGTCCGGAGTATTTCAGATGAAGCTTTAGAATCCTTGCCTCCAAGGAGCAGCCTGATTTCACCCTGTCTAGGACAAACCTGTTTGTTTTCCTAGCAGCCCATGGTATATTCAATACTCTTCTCTAGTACCACAATTCAAAGCTATCAATTAATTCTCCTTTTATCATCCCTAGTCATTGTCCAGATTTCTGAGGCATAGTAAGTAATTGTGAAGACCATGGCCTACATCAAGCACACCTTAGTCTCCAGATTAACATCGCTGCTTTTCAGTATTATGGAGATGTTCCTGACAGCACACTCCCAATGCAATTCACCTTTTGGTTTCCTGGACTCTGATACTAAAAAGACTGATTGTGGAGCAAAGCAAACTGTAGCTGTCAACAATCTCAGTCTTTTCACTATCTATCATGATGCTGCCAATCAGCCCAGTGGCAAGAATTTTTGTTTTCTTGATGTTGATCTTCAATCCATATTGAAGGCTGCAATCCTTGACCTTCTGTAGCAAGCACATCAGGTCATCCTCAGTTTCAACAAGCAGGGTTGTGTCATCTGCATCACGCAGCCTGTTGATGAGTCTTCTTTCAATCCTGATGACACAGTCCTCTTCAGCCCAACCTCATGAATAATCTTAGATTTTAAAATAATATGGTAGAGAGGAGAAGGAGAGTTTGAAAAGAAAAGTAAAATATCTAAATAGCCAAGAAATATTTGTGAGTATGATTCATAGTGCATCTCTGAGAGGGACCCAGGAAAGATTGCCCCTTCCTTGATTAAAGTCTGGAATGAGAAAAAAATACAATAACAATTTACGAGGTATTTTATTGTTAATGAAGACAAGCCTAAGAGAAGTGATATATGTTTCCAGGCAAGTGTGCTTTATAGTTTCAAACTCAAGAATCAGACTTATATGCTAGAAATATTGGAATAGAAGTCTCTGCACCAAGCAATTTCTGATAAAAGCATAGGAAAATATGTAGGAAGGTGGAGAATCTCAGCTACGATGGAAGTCTGTTCACTCCAACTATACTGATCAGATTTAAGCTCTTCAGGAGAAAAATGATTGAGGATGGAGTGAGACTGGAAATGCTATACTAAAGGGACTCCTACAGCATGAATAGTGGAGAATAACCACCCCACATCTCAAGAGCTTGACTTAAATGCTTAACAATATCAGTCCATGTGCCTATTACTTCTACAGTGTCTCAAGGTGACCAGCAGCAGCTAACTGGCTGCTATAACATCTATGCTCCTTCACATACAGTCGAAGAGAAGATCTTGTCTCCAATAGCTCATGCAAAAATCTTAGGGTTTTTTACACAACACTTGTGTGGGCACACACACATGCGTTCACACATACACATACACACACATCTACATGCATATACATATGCGTACCAAGCACACCCACTTACACATACGTACACCTAAGAATGAGTTGGAGTGTTTGTCCAATGACTCCAGTTATTTGTTGAGGAAAAAGATGGCTTTGCCTTAGGTATCACCAAGGACAGAGCAAGCAGCCAGAGGACACAAGTGTGTCACTTAAAAGTAAGTTTGCTCATATCCTGTGCCCATTTTTCAACTGGGTTATTTAACTTTATCTTGTTGTGGTGCTCAAGTATTTTATAAATTCTAAATATAAGTCCCTTGTCTGACATGTCATTAACAAGTATTTTTCCCCAATCTGTGGCTTCCCTTTTTACCCTGTTGGATGTGCATGAGGATTTGATTCTTAGAAGGTCCCATTCATCTATTTTGTCCTCTTCTGGTTGTGAATTTTCTAAGATGCTTGGAAGACTTTTTATGTTGTGAATTATGACTTCTAGAGTTCTTCCAAGCTTTTCTTTAGTGAAGTTTATAGTCCTTGGTTTAAGTCCTAGGTCCATGATCCACTTTAAGTCGGTTTTTTGTGTATGGAGTGAGATGCAAATCAAAACAACTATGAGATATCATCTCACCCCAGTAAGAATAGCAAAATTTAACAGAACAGCAAATATCAAATGCTGACAAGGTTGCGGAGAAACTGGAACCCTTATTCACTTTTAGTGCGAGTGTAAAATGATGCAACCACTATGGAAGGCTGTATGGCACTTTCTCAAAAAGTTGCAAATAGAAATATCATTTGACCCAGCAATTTCACTACTGGAAATTTACCCTACAGAAAACAACTGAAGCAGATATATACATACCCATGTTTATTGCAGCTTTGTTCACAATAGCGAAGGGCTGGAAACAACCCAAGTGCCCATCAACAAATTAATGGATAAAGAAGCTCTAATATATTCACACAATAAAATACTATGCAGCATTGGAAAAACAAGGAACTTATAAAATATTATGCAAGGTGGAAGACTCTAGAGGACATTATGCTGAGTAAAATATCTCTGTCACAAAAGGACAAATACTGCACAGGGACACTATTGTTAAACAGGACTGGCATCGGGGTTGAGAGAAGACAGAGAAGGAGGGGAAGAATGATGTATATGGCGTTGAAACAGATGAGGGAAAGAACTGTTTAAAAAGGATATATGATTGGGTATTGCTGTCATGACCGGAGTCTAGAATGAAGGCTACACAGTGGAGTGGACATGGGGGGAGGGATTGCATAACAATGAAAGAATTTTTCTTTTACTTTTCAAGGAGAAGAGTAAATTGGAGGGGGGAGGGAGAAAAGTGCAACAATGAATGACTGGAAACCCCAAGTCTCTGTAAACTTTAATTAAAATTGATTTAATTAAAATTAAATTAAATTAAATTTAAATTTCTTTTTAAAAAAGTAAATTTGCATATACAGAAGAGGAAAGGTCTGAAAGAATGCAAACAGAGCACTCACAGTGTAGAGAATACTCTACACTGAAGAGTGAACTGAGATGGGGGGAAAAAAATTTAAAAATTCATCATTGGGCCTTGCCCTTCATTGTCCTGTCTTTTTACCCAGAACCTTCCCATTTCCTTCCCCCACTCCCTCCACTCACCAAATTGTGCAACCTTATGATTTCGCCTCTCCTCATCTTCATCCCTCTGCTCCCATGTCTACCCCCCTTGGATCACCATACATGTTTTACTAGTTATCCTTATATTTACATAATAATGGTCTTATGCAGTATTTGTCCTTATGCGACTGAGTTAGTTCACTCAACATAATATTCTCCAGTCTCTCCCAAGTTGTGTAATATTTTTCCAAATCATTGCCCCTAAGTGTTTCATAGTATTCCATTGTGTGAATGTACCATAATTTCTCAATCCATTCAGTTGGGTTCAACACTTGGCCTGTTTCCATGTTCTTGCAATAGTAAATAATGCTGCAGTAAACACTGGTGTACAAATCTTTATGTTTCATTTTTAATTTCCTAGACTCGATGGCACATAACAACAACAACAACATATTCTCAGTAGTGGAATATGTGGGTCATCCAGAGTTTCTACATTCAACTCTTTGAAGAGACACCAACTGCCTTCCAGAATGTTTGTATCACATTACAATCCCACCCACAATGTATGAGTTCCCACCTCTCCACATCCTCTTCAACATTTATTACTTGATGGATGATATTCTTTTTTTTTCCATAGCTCATCTGGTCTTCATTCATTAGTGTTCAAGGCCTCAAATCTGTTCTTAAGGTAGTTTTTAAAACTCAGGTGAGGTAGACTCAGTGGCAAATGTTGGTTCTTGATGTACATAGGGATTCGATTTTTAGAAGATCCAATTCACCTGCTTTGTTCTTTCCTGGTTGTAGGTTTTCCATTATGCTTGGAAATCTGTTCATGATGTGGAATAGGGATTCTAGAGTACTTCCTAGCTTTTCTATGATGGATTTTATGTCTTTGGTTTTACTTCTAGGTCCCTGATACATCTCGAGCTTTTTTTGTGTGTATGGTGTGAGGTACGGGTCTTGCTTAAGTTTTGTGCAGATGGCTTTTTAATTTTGCCCACATCATTTGTTAAAGAGCTGTTGCTTACCCACTTAATTTATTTTGTCTCCTTGTAAAAAAATCAGTTGACCATAGATAGTTGATTTCTAGGTTCTTAATGATGCCTCCTACTTTGTTTCTTTTTCAATAGTGCTTTGTTTATTCAGAGTCTCTTTCCATCCAGACAAAATTGGAAGTAACCTTTTCCATATAGTTGAAGAATAGAATGAGTATGTTTTGAGATTGCTTTGAACTTGTATATTGCTTTTGGTAAAACTGTAATTTTCATGGTATTGGGTCTTCCTATCCATGAGCATGGTATATTCTTCCATTTCTCTAGCTCTTTTTTTGTGTTTTGCAATTATATTTTGTAATTTTATTTGTATAGATCTTTTGTGTCTCTTGTTAGATTTGTTTTTAAGTATTTATCTTGTTATTAGTTATTGTAACGAATGTTTCTGCTGTTTTCTTAGCTCCATTTCTATGCTTTATTTGTTACTGCAGAGAAAGCCAACTTATGTTTTTAAATTTATTTTAGTCATCTATCCAGCTACTCTGCTGAATTGGTCAACTATACCCAATAGTTTTATTGTTGAATTTTAGGA